TCACTACTTGGAACGCAAACTGCGGACTGGCCCCGAAGGTACAAGACATCCGACAATACCTAAAAGACTACTCCGTATTCCAAAAAACGCACTTCAAACCCCACCTCTCCTCCATCCCCGACTACATAACATATCGCACTGACAGACCGACACACGGAGGGGGAAAGCGATATGTATCAGAAAGGACATTCCCCACACCTAACTCCCACCAATTGCCACATCCCAATTAAAAAACACCAGGCTTGAAATAGCTACCCCTTACGGCCCTATCACTATAACCTCCTTTTACAAACCACCACAAAGCCCCCTGTTAGACCAAGACCTCGACCTATTGACCACAGGCACCTGCCTATTAGCAGGCGACCTAAACTCAAAATCGACCACCTGGGGATGCAGACACACCAATGCCAACGGAAACAAACTTAATGACTACAACAACAACAACCGACCAACTAACTCTGACAGCACCGACAGAACCAACACACTTAGTACGAGAAATACCCCATGACATTTTAGACTTTCCAATCCACTCATCAAGTATCACTATCAGCTCCCCCCACCCTCATCCTGAACTCAACTCCGATCACCTTCCCACCATTTTCACATTAGACACACTATCCCTCCATATAAACCTTATCCGGAAAAACATAGAAACTGCCAGGAAAAAATTCGAACACATATCAAAAAAGATCAATCATCCTAATTCCCTTGAAACCCCACAATAAATCAACCTAGCCATCGCTCATTTCAACCTTCAGATAAATCGATCCCTTTCCAAGTCATCTACCCACACCAAAGACACCCCACCCAAATTGCCCGACAACATCCTACAACTTATACGCCACAAACGCAAATCCCAAAAGACATTCTATCGAACCAGAAGACAAGATCACAGACGGACGCAACTACCGAAAAACTTTTCACAATTCACTGAAACTACGAAAAAGAAAAATGGACAGACACCATCGACGAACTGACTAGGCACCCCAGGAGAATTTGGACAGTAATCAAAGAATTAAAGACAAAAACAAATTCGATCTCCCCACTTACCCTACCAGACGGAACATTAACCTACAACCCACAAACCATGACAGAACTCTTTGCAGACAGACTGCAAAACCGATTTACATTCCCAAACACCCCCCTCCCACCTTCAGCAATACTATACTACCCCAAAACCCCCCACCTTCCACCCCAACATCAAACACCCTGGACTATCACAGACGAAGTACAAGACGAACTAAACTCACTCGACGAAACCAAAGCGACAGGTCCCGACGGAGTAAAGGCCCATTTTTATCACTTGCCCCTCCACCCACAGTGCCGAAAGTTTATCGGGGTAGTGATCAGACGCAACGCCTGGACATTTACGTGTCTCTCCATGGGGTGGACCACGGCCCCCCTCTTGATGCAGACTGCCATCCGCTTCGCCGTAAATTCATTGTGCGCCTCGGCGGCATTTATTTACTACGACGACATTCTCCTGTGCAGTAACAGTAAGGAACAGCTCCTACGAGATCGACAAGCCCTCATTTCTGCCGGTTTCCAAATTAATAGAGAAAAGAGTGTTTTGGAACCTGTTACGCGAATCACATACCTGGTCGTTATACTTTACTTGAACGCCAAAACCATCACGGCGCAAGAAAACTATGTGCTCAACGTACCCGCGACATGGTTATCAAACTATCGATTTCGCCTTTCTCTCGCCGGCTGGCTGACGGTGGCGGCCACCGCCACCTTCCCGCTGGCTCGCCTCCTGCTTCTACACCCCGCTGAAGCCATCCCATGGATACGCCGCATAACACCGCGCACAATGCGCCCTCAGCAGCCATTTCTACCGGACTTAGTCTTCTTTTGCGACGCCAGCTCGCAGCAATGTGCATTTTGTTCCGCCGACGAAGACGTCATGTGGACGTGGTCTTCGCCTACGGCACAAGATATTTTTCAAGCGGAGCTGGAAGCCGCCTTATACTGTCTCCTTTATGTACTTGTGTTTTCCCTAATTCTAGTGTTTTATTATACTGCGGCGGTCGTGGCTAATCTACACCGCCGCGTGGCCCACTCTGATGATCCTATTATATTAGCCATAGCTCATACTGTATTTCTATGTTTACATTTCAATTGTATATGGATACCCACCGAATACAATAAAGTTGAGCTCTGGTCCCGCCTGCCTCCGGCGGATCACGCTACCCCTGGCCAATCAGGAGCCGCTGTTGCGCGTCACCTCGCAACGGCGGTTCCTGGCAACGGGCGGTAGCGTGCTCAGTCGGAGCAGAGACGCGGGCTCTTCTTTTGACCGTCTCGGCCCGTCTATGATGCATACAAAAGGAGAATTGAATCAATACAACAATTCTTTTAATTTAGCAGCTTGGTTTCTTGAATTACCATCACCGAGATTAAACGATTACAGTGAAATTTTACTATATCTTCAAATTAGTTCTCTTGAATATCACAGAAAATGTAATAGCATCTTATTTCTATTCAAATTATTAAATCATAATATTGACAGTACCGAACTGCTATCTTTGATCAATTGGAAAATACCACTGTGTAACCCCACATTTAATCAAAATGATGCATTTTTCATACCGTTCGCGAGAACAAATTTGAGTTATTATTCTTAGGCATACATGCAGAAACCATAATAACTATGATTTTGACATAAAATATATCTCTGTTAGGTGTTTTTTTGATAAAAAAATGAGTTTTCATCTACACATTGATATTATTAATAATAAATCAAATCAGATGTTAGGATTTGTGAGACGTATTGCATCTGAATTTACTAATGTGCAAACCATCAAAACTTTATATTTAACTCTTAGTAAGACCGATATTATTATATGGCTCACAAATATGGTCTCCCTTTTACCAGAACCACATCTCTAGACTTGAAACTGTTCAGCACAATTTTTTTATTTTTGCTGCCTTCAAGCTTGATATTCCATCTCCTAGATTTAGTCACAATTATTTCCATGTCGCAACTAGATTGAATATTAGCTCATTACGCTCTCATAGGGATTATTTTGATGTACTTTTTCTGAATAATTTGATAAATCATGATATAGACTCTTCTGAATTACATTGTAAAATTCCTTGGGCTAATCCAGTGCGTGATCTGCGTTCTACAAACAGCATGTTATTTAATATTCCTTTTGCGAGATCAACCTTATTACTATTATGCGCTATTATGGAAAATGTGTAGAAGTGCCAATTGAACCCGCATTAACTTATTTTGTTCACCTTATTAATTTAAAAAAACTTATAAAAACCTGTTACTAAATGATTTTTGATAATACTGTAATGTATATGATATATAATAATTGGGTGATTGCCTGCAATTATACGTATAAAAATAAATAAATAAATTTGTTAATTATACTAAGTAACGTGTTAATTCATTAATTATACAAAACCTGTAATATTGGGCAATTGCCCGTTTAGATGCAAATAAATAAATAAATTGCATTCATTATAATTTTCAACTTTCAGAACGGAAATTCAAACGTTTGAATATACGTCTTGTAAGAGGCATCTCAAACGGCAAAATAAGTGGCTTATCAAACTCTCACCCCCCCCCCCCCCNNNNCCCCCCCCCCCGGTTATTTGCAAACAAAGCAACTAACCCTTAATAAACTGGAGATACTTTTGGATAGAAGATCTAGATTTCAAAAACTCAGGAATATTGCAGTACTATTCACAAGTTAATCCTCGCTTAACGTACACAAATGTTTCCTCTATTCTTTGAAATTTATTAAAAAATTGGAATTTATCCCTTCAACAACATCCATTCATGTGATTGATTAATTTCTTTCCTTCTCCCTCCCCCTGTTCAAATGGCCCCTATAATCACTATTTCAGTATTCTGATCACATTAAAACAGAATATGCTCACATTTTCTTGCAAATGGTGAAGAACAGAATAGTTAAATGAAGCATGTTCAGGTGATAAAAACAATATATCAATAACAATTAAAACTAAATAAGTGATTTTTTCCATGCATTACATTATTTCCTCAAACATAAAAATACGTTTTAAAACATTTCTATTGTTTGCATTACTTCGTAAATAAATAAAATTTCAAAATCATAAAATCATGAAGTGTTAAAAGGAAAAAAGTTCATGAAATTCATAACATTATGAGTGAAAAAAAAGTACAGTACTGTGTTTACAATACCGTCAATATAGCAAATTTTTCACCATTACCCACTTCACATCACTATTATTACCAACAAATAAAAAGAAAACATTCCATCAAATCCTTCATCGAATCATCTCAACTTGGTCCTTATGCTATATGAAACCCTTTTCCCCCATAGTTCAATAAATCTATACTAGCAGTTATGAGTTATAACTGAAATAATAATTGTGCCCTGGGAAACTGAACACAAAAAACGAAACTTGTGGCTTTTGAATGTGTTCAACTGACAGTGTAGTGCAGAACAAGGCTTTTAACGTTACTCTTCAGAACACATACTATAATTAACTTAAAAATGCAGCAAATGTTTATTATATTCATGTCGCAAATCTTGCCAACCCCAGATACTTAAAAACATTGTAAAACATTGCATCTCATTCAACTTCTATTTACAGAAGAAGAAAAAAACAGTGAATGTCAGTCTAAACTGTTCATCGAAGCTCTTATCTTCCAATCAACTCAAGCTTCTACCATTACCTAAAATAGTTCTCAAACTATTTTCTAAGGACATATCTGTGAGCAACTTTCAAGAGCAAAAAATAAAATCTCAAATCTTGCACTACAATATTAATAAAACAATACTATTTACACACATCCCTCACATTCAGAAGGTCAACGTTGTGCCTAGACATATTTTTACAATAATTCATATTCAGTGACCTCAAAACAATTTATTTTTTCTGATTCAAAAAAGTACTGTGTATTCAGCAACAAATTGCCAAAATCATTACTCAGCAACACACAGACGTTCACACGAGGATTAAAGTTATTATCAAACAGATATTGCACAAGAAAATACTTAGGATTCATCTCTTCTGCTCTTCTCTTTCACATACAGAACCTCCACCTGAACTGATGAAGACACTACAAACACTTTTTTCTCTACAGTACTAGGTGCTGAACCAGCACCTGAAGCAGATGCTGAAAAAGTGCATTCACCCAACAGCTCACCCAACAGTTGCACTCCAAGTCCAATAGGATGATGAGCTCTCGAGGATGATCACATGTTCACCCAGCACACTGCCTTCCCCATTCTACCTCATGGCACCAAGTACGGTTTCACACACCTGAAGAAAAAATTGCCATTATTACATTATTATCCAAATGATAATGTCATTGATGGTAGCAGAAGAAATATTGCAGAATTCTGTACCAATAAGTGAGTTTTATGGATCTAGTAGCTTGAAAAAGTAAAAGACAATTTTGCTACATTAAAAATCCCTATAAACAATTTATTTTTATTATCGATGGCACAACAGACAATTCAGGCCTTGGCCTAACATCTGAATAGTCGCAGTGATTCCAGTCTCTCTCACTTCACAAATTACAGTAACTAACAAAGTTACATCTAATTGACAACTCTGATTTACATAACTGGAATTAGTATTAACAACAATGCTACAGATTAATACTTTCGTAGTTCATAAAATGTAAGTTACGTATATCTGATTGAGAAACAACAGTGAATATCACAAAACAATTAATTTAAGATACAATCTATATATTTGGCACATAAATAATAAACATGTATTAAATTGAGATATAACATTAAATTACACCTTATAATTAGTGTAAGTCTATTTCTATATTTCAAAGCCTCATCATTCCAATCGTCAAGGTTTTCGTTGTTAAAAATATGATAAAACATAGTATTTTCCTAGCCGGTTTTCCATTTTAATGATAGAATGGTTATATTTAATTGTTTAGTCATATAATATGCATAAATAATATGATAATATTTATCGATTGTAAAGAAAGGATTTCAGGTTTTGCTACTTAGCAATTTCATTCATAAATCGTCAAAGTAATTCGTCCTGGTTCTATATTGATATCAACTACATAAATATTAGTTTTAAAACAATATTCGGATTTATGTCTGTGTTAAACCGTCATCTTATTTTTCGTACCACGTTATTCGTTAATCGTTATTCTACATACCACTATTGAAGGTTCACAATGCAGTTTAACAAGATTACCACAAACAAAAACAAAACATAGAAATAACTATTAAAAATGCAAAACAATAAAGAATTGAAGAAATTTTTGGACAACAGCATTTTTTTATGCTTCTCTAACATATGTACACTGAATATTAAAGAAATGCATGTTTGTCAGTTCCAAGATTTTTCACAATACTAAATGCATTAAAACCAGGAGTGTTGCACATTTTTAAAACACTTAGAACATTTCGCACTGTTCTTGACATCAAAACGTTTACTCTAATCACAATTAATTTTAGCCTTTATAAGCAGTAGAATTCTTTCTCCTCATCAAAAACTATTTTTTTAATAGGTTCTCTTTTGATTTTCTTAGTACTCAAGTCCTTAATCTAAAAATATTCACTCATGGTAAACATGTCACCCATGATAATTTTATAAGTGCAGAAAATACTCTCGTAGTTTTGAGGTTACAACTCAAAGATTCCCTTTTGCACAAGTCATATGTGATTAGTTACGAATACAAATTTATTTTAAACAATTAGTTTCCTATTTATCTCTGCCCATCGTAAAGTATCTATTGCAGAGAACTGGTTTCTTCAGTTTTGACATTCTTTTACTTTTAACAAGTAAAACAAGAAACATTTTGTTAATTATAATAATAATAATAATAATAATAATAATAATAATAATAAAGAAGAGACTTCCTGAACAAAACCTCAAAAACATCCCTACGAAATCAAGAAATTCTACCCATATTTACTTCAAAGGTGAATAAACCTCATAATTTATCAACATAACCTGACAATACTGGGAAAAAGATTGTGAATTGTAAATAAGATTCCTGACGGCTTGAATATCGAAAACTATGAAAGATGTCAGTGGCTATTGATTTTGGGCAATTCACAAAATATTTTATTCCAGAAATTTTATTTATATCATGAGAATAGGTTTTTGGAAAACACCGATATTTCTGGATAAGTATTTCAACCTGAAGAAAACATGAATATTAATACATTGATGTTTCTGAAGGGAAATATATCAGCCTGAACAGCCTTTAGGAGATCAGAACCTCTAGGATATTTACACTTTACACTTCTCCACATGATCGCAGTTGCAAGCTCACAATAGCATAGGAATAAGTTTCTCATTTTGCAATTGCCAACTCACTGTGCAACCCCCATAGCTAAGCAGCGGAAGTAATGTTTCACATGATGTGACATTAATGTTCAAAAATTAACTGCCCCAGCAGGGAATCGTACCTGATCTCCTGGAATACACCCACTGCTCTACCCTCTTCAGCTACAGACCAACCCTCTTCCAACAGCATTTAGATCAGAGTCCAATGACGGAACGTCTGGGAAACCTATTGCTATGCTACTGTTAGGTTGCAACTTGTTGAGGGGTGAAATGTACAGAATATTCAATATAATAACTTGCTATACTGAAATATTGTAAATTAATATTTCTTCCACCTCTGCAAACTTTGCAGCCATGAAATCTTTTAGCTTTCTTGTATATCATGTATTCTTGTAATGCGAGGCTCATTTTAAGAAGTACTAAAGGAATAAGGTTTTTTTCTCTGATCTTAAAACTAACAATTAATTAAACATCTTTGTTCATAAATATTTCTAAATAAATTCAAATTGAAACAAGAAACCAGATATTATTATACTTTTTAATCAATATTTTCTTTTTACGGTCTCTTATTTGCAATCTGTGTTCTACTGATATCTCACTTATTTGAAAACAAATTATTTCCATTCTGCATCAACAGTTGAGGCCACAGACTTCTTCCCCTACAACAAAGTTATAAAAAAGCTTATTAAAAAATGGTTAGTCACAGAAGAAATAGACGGTACTGAGAAACCTGCTCAAACTGCCATCCTAATTATGCAATCACCTCCCAATGACCATTTTTTCATGGCACCAACTGGTTTTTGTATAACATGTGAATATTCTCTCTTTTCATTGATTGCCTAGTTAACCCTTGGACTCTGTTTCTTCATTACTTATGTGGATTCTGTTTGGGGTCAGGTTTGATGTTTTAATGGTTTAAAAGTTTTTCAATCAGTTATTATATTAATTGAGAAAATGATGCTACTTATTTTCTACATCATACTAAAAATAAACAGACAATATTTCCAGAAAAACATTCTAGCATAGCCTCATAACTACACATACGTGTGTGTCATACCAGCATGAGAATGTTTGATACAGGGCTACTTACTCACAATAGACTAATATGAGAGATTATCATTCAGAAACCACAACATAATATTTCAAAACAGAAATGGACATGTTAGCAGTCAGAAATCCTCCCTAACAGATTACATGTTACACATCTAATTATAAGAAAAATGTTTAAATTGGAATCTGTTTGGGAACATTTTTGACTCCAACTGCATAAGCATCCAATTACTTCTAACCAAGGAAACTTAAAAAACAGAAAAGTATACAACACATGAAATATAAAACATTATAAGCACTTGTAAAATAAATATTTTTTTTGAAAAAGATGGAAAACTGGTCATAAATGGCATATCTAAAAGAAGTTTGTGTGAATAATTTTCAGTGTTCCTAAATATCATTGGTGCCTGGAGGTCACAAATGACCCCAAACAGAGTGTAAAGGTTAGCAGCCAACAGCCAGGCATATTTTGCACTTTGACCTCGATTAATAAGTTACCTCATCAGATTTTGATCTCTAGTATAGTAAGATGAGGAAAAGTGGTGGAAATTACTGTTGATTTATCTTCCTGCCTCTCTTCCAGATACTTAGCTCACCAATCAAGAGTGTTTTGATATTAGCCGAGAGAAGGTAAACGATCCTAAACACCTTGTTTAAATTGTATTTCGTCCTTTATGTCAATTAAAAACATTAAGAGAACACTCATTTTATAACCATTAATATAAGATTTGATTTATGTTTACCATAACTTCGTAACTTTGATTAGGCAGCGACCTATAATAACAGTTAATTTTTGGTGGAATCATTGGTGACCACTAGACAGATTTTACTGTGATCAGAATGAATTATTTTAGAAGACTTTATCATCACATGAAAGAAAATTGATGGCAAAATATTGACTGGCAATATTTAGACAAGCATTCAACATCAATAACTTTACCTGAATTTATGGCAGTGGCTGTCAAAACACCATTCAGTGATGTATGCCCCAGTTTCTTCCGCCAGGGATTGAATTCAGCAGGTAAATCTCTACTGCCGTCGATGTTCACAGCTTCCTTCACAGCATCTTTCATGGATTTTGACGCTGGAAATTCAAGCCCTTTAGGCAAAATTTTTTGGTAAGGACTAAATTTGGTTGGTGGAAATGGGTGGTTCATTACAGCACAAAAAAATTGAGAAGCTTTGCCTATGCTTCTCACGGCATAAGTCAATCTCATATTGGCTTCATATTTTTTATAATTAACTTGGAAATCGCACAACTTTTTTACTTCACAATGCATTATTTCAAAATTAGAAGCTACGCCTCTCAACAATTCCGATGCAATTCATAGACTCTCAAAATTTGCACTCCACTAAACTTTGCAAAATGTCTGACAATACACTAATATCCACAAAAAATATCAGCCAGAACAAGATTAATTTACACTGAAACTGTCGACAGTTGCTTCACAAAACATCAGCTTTCGAAGCATTGATTTCGAATCACTGGGTGGAGTTGACAAGTCATGTATCATTGAAGCTTGGAAAACCATTAGTACCAATGATTTTCCGTTCGTGATATTTTCCTTTGTCGAAGAGCTTTATTTTTGCCATTATAGCACACGAAAACGAGAACTGCACAAAAAAGTTGTTACTTCTATAACCCACGTGCACAACACAAAATCAAACAACACGTTTTGAACACGTTCGAAGTTATCGTTGTCAACTGTTCCAACATCGAAGCTGTTTGGAGTTTTCATCAGTTTCGCCAACGTAAGAACGAAACACAACAAGAGATACTGAACGCGCCGTTGTAAGGAAACACGCCATGTTGTTACTCCATGACGGAGTAGCGCCGCGTGGCCCCGACCGCCACTTTTGAAGGCATTAAAGATCCGAAAACGTAAAAATATTACACTGGCATAATCTACGTACTATTGCGAATCAAATTACAAACAAGATTCGATTTTTTCAACAAACTCATACAGGTGTCCTTAAATTGATCTTTTTTCTGGGCAGAAAATAGTTTCAAAAATGTCTGGTTATATCAGTCAGCTAAAATATATTTCAGTATATTCTAGCTCGTTACTTCTCAATCACACTCAAACTTGACTGACAAAATTTGTTACTTTAACTAGCAAAAAATGATCACTGCATTTCCAAAAGAATAGTTAATATGTGTGTGCACACATGCATGTGTGCATGACTGAGAATATTTGTAAATAAATGTTGTCTATATAAAC